GTGACTCTAATTTTTTTTTAATTAATTGGTTTCTTGAAATTACTTCTTGCAAAGATATTTCATTCTTCATCTAGATTTTGAACAGTGCAAGCCTGGGCAACCAATTTTGCCTTCTATTTCTTTTCTCTCCTTTTCTAAAAATTACTCTTACAATTACATGTCAGTTTCTAAAAACAGGTCCCTGGGGATATAATGAGAAATAAGGTGGTTGTGATTCCTGCCCTGTCAGAGATGTAGCAGATGCAGGTTTAGCATTTAATTGTGCCTTCATTTTTTTTCATGAGTGGTTTATCCAGGTTATGAATCTTGAAAGTTTTCATCTTCCACAGTTTATAAACAATGCCTACAAATAAATGAACTCAATCATTTTTCCATGTTGTCTTCAAAGACTATTTGGGGACCTCAAGAAACACAGTGAAAAAGTTTATTTTTGTATTGTTTGAAATGTATTGATTACTTTGCCCTCATATATACTCACACAATCACAGTAAATATGTTTCTCATTTTCTCACAAAAATGTTATTTTCTTGCTTTTAATAAGCCCTTAGAAAAACTGAAGCAAGCAAAATTTAACGAAGTGTTGGTTTAGGATTTGGAAGGTCAGATTGTTTGGATAACAGGTCCTTACTTACCTGGCATTTCTTTAGGAAATTTTACTATTACTGAATTTATGTTCTTTAAATGAAAGTTATGGTAGAATGATCTGGGTGCATCATGTCAGATTTTATTTTATTTCTACTATGTATGTTTATTATAAGCTGGAGATATATTTGAGAGAAGTTCATATATTAAGGTTATTATGATTTTGTGTCCTATATAAAATGTTTATATACACAAGAATTTAAAATAAAACAATTCACAGTCTAGTTGAAAAAATTTTTGAAAATAAAAATAACTTGGATATGATACATTGAATGTACATTTTTAACTGGTTAAATTGTTTATTAGAATATTATAGCAAAAAGATTTTATTGAGTAATTAATAATTGATCTTTTAATCCTTAATTCATCTGATCTTAATGTTTCTTTCATATATCTAAAGTGAAGATACTGGATATGGTAAAGATGTTCAATAGAAATATTTTCACTTTCTATAATATCATGGTAACTTTTTATAATATCATGGTAACTATATTTCATTCTTTCTAAAACTTGAGTTTTCAGCTTTTTAAAGAAATTATTTATTTTTACAGAGAGGGGAAGGAAGAGAAGAAGAGGGAGAGAAACATCAGTGTGTGGTTGCCTCTCACACACCCCCTACTGGGGACCTGGCGTGCAACCCAGGCATGTGCCTTGACTAGGAATTGAACCTGCAACTTCTTTGCTTCACAGTCCAGTGCTCAATCTACTGAGCCACACAAGCCAGAGCTTCAGCTCTGTTTTAATGTCAGTGTATTGCCTCCTCAGACTTAAAGTGTGCTAGTATACTCTAGAATCTGGGAGTAACCAAAGCTGCACCAGGTGGATGTTGGCAATAGCCTCCGATTAAGTCAGAATCCCTACGGAGGCAAGAGCAGTGACAAACGTTACTAGAAACACTATCACTGAATTTTGATAATCAAAGGACTATTCATGATTACAAGTTTTGAAAGCCTATTTGAAATAAGTGTTCTGATAAAATAGCTGCATAAAATATATATAGTTTTTATTATATGTTTTCAGTAATAGCTATAGTTTAGCCTTTAATGCTATAGCTCAAAAGTATAAATCTTAATCATGAATATATATTTTTGTGTACATTAATAGCATAAGAATTTATTAAATGTTAAGCCACAAGCTGTATTGTGCTGATATAGCAACAGTGGGGCGGGAGAGTGGGGGTGGGAAGCTATCTACTTCCAGCTAGAAACGTCGGATTTTGTCTTCCTGAATGTTTAGAGACATGTCCAGCACATAGAATCTATTTCCCAAAGGTTGCTATAAATAGCACTTCTCAATGACTTCACCGCTTTGAGAAGAGCAGTCTCTGTGGTGAGCTCCCAGAGGAACCATGTCAGAGCTAAGTGCCCTGGTAGGCAGTAGAGCTCAGCAGTTTAGGCTTGTAAACCAGTGGCTTGAGGACTAAACCAGACCTCAGTTACCTCTGGCTTTGGGATCTTGGGCATGTACCTTAACAGTTGTAAGCTTCACCTGTTTACTCTGTAAATGGAGGTAGTAACAACGCTCTCAGAGGGTTTGTTATGGGAAATAAACAATACACATAAAGTACTTAGAGGGCTGCCTGCTGCATAGGAAGTGCTACATTATCTACATCACACAAATTTGGCTCTGTGTTTTTGGCACAGAGAAAATAATTTTAAATTAAGAAGTGTATTCTGCTTGCCAGGCCACAGAGACACTGAGCAGTTTGGTGTTTCCAGGCTCAAGCCTCCTCCCTTCTTAGGGCATTTATACTCGTTCTCCCAGGTTCCAGCTTTCCCTCCAAATGGAGCAGGCCTTGTTCAGGCACTGTCTTGAATACGTGCTCAAATAGCCCATTGGTCACTAAGACTTTCCTTCCTGCCCCATGTGAAACACCCCTGTACCCCAAAGGGCCCTGACTCTTCATCCTGCAATACTTCTTTCTCCCTGGAGTTTATCACCACCTACTATCTACGTATTTCCTCATGTAGTTGTGCTCTCTCTCTCCACTCTCTAGGACAGGAGCCCTGTGTGGGCAGGGACTTTGTTCTCTGTACGTCCCATTCCCCAGCACGTAGAGCGGTGCCTGGAAGACAGTAGGTGCTCAGTCAACATCGTGAGGAATTCATGTGAACCTCTGTCCTCTCAGTCTCTGCTGGCTTCTGTCCTTTCATAGCGTGGCCATCCTGCAGCACTGCGTGTGGTTCTTGTGTTTTAACATGTATGTCCATCCTCCTCTCCTCCAGTAAAACCTGGCCTTGAAATACAAGCCGACCACAACATGGGCTGCTCAGCACACAGCACCGTGGCCTTTTATCCTGCTGGAAGTAAAACCAAAGCGCAGCAAGACTGACTGCCAAGGACACATGGAGAGGCTGGCTCTTCTGTAGTTGACTTCAAGACCAAAATAAAAACTGAGTGATTTTTAAAAGATTTTCAAGGATAATGTAGATTTTTAACTCTTGCTGAATGTAGAGCCTTGATATCTTCTCTCTGTCCTCCTGACATGCAGCCCTGGGTTTTGGTTCTCTGTCTTTCTGCTTAAGTCTCAAGAGATAGGGCTCACAGTGAACTGAGAGCTCTGTCGAATTTTAAATTCATACTCCATGACATTCAGAATTACTCAGGTTGTTGGGTCACTGTTAAGTATTTATACATTCAAATTCTGAAGCTTAGTCCATGGTAGAAGTGACCACAAATCTAATAGAATAAAAAATATAAAAATTTAAAAAAATGTACAGTATAGAAAAAAATAAAGTTTGGGAAGCTCTGATAAAATTGTGTATATACACACATGCAAACACACACACACCCGCCCCTTTGGGTCAACCGCTATTGAGCTCTCTATTCCAAATAAAATATGTTTATTATCTAGAAAAGCAGTGTAAGCCTTAAACTTCTTTGCTTGGCACTATGGTATTCATACATTACAGGCCTCAGATTGCAGACTAAAAAGGGAGAAGCTGATATTATTAATCCTCTTAGGCTTTATTGAAAATTTACCAATGGGTTTCAAAAAATTTACCCCTAAAGGGCATGTCTTCCTCTCAACAGGGAATTTTCCCTATAGAAGATTTATTTTTTAAAAACTGACAAATATTATAATACTGGTAGTGTTATGAAAAAAATTTAGAACATGAGTGATGAGCCAAAAGGTTTCCCTCCCCACTAATCAATGTTATGAAAGAAAAAGGAAAAAAAGCCTGACTAGATCTTATCATTTACTTCCCTGTGCTATTGTCTGAGAGTGACCTATATTGATAGTTGGAGTTCCAACAGGAGGAAAACACCGGTGAAGGAGGAAATGACAAAAACAATTGTTGAGGCACCTGTAACGAGAGGGAAAGTGTGCCAAAGGCCTGATGTGACAAGCCACAGCCCTTGAATCGGTGGTTTGGTGTCGACCATAAGAATGAGAAAAGGTCACAGTCTCTGAAAGAGAAATAGCCTGCACTTACAGAAATGTGACTGCGGTTAAGAAATAATTTTAAAGTTAAAAACAACAAATTGGCTAACCTAGTGTGCGTGCTTTCCAGGAAGAGTATCGTCTCCCAGACCCTTTCTGCTTTCAGTGCGACTGGTAATGAGTCTACTGGGTAAGGGAGCAGGGACAGACTGGGCTGCGCGGGGTTTGGTTGTGATATTTTGTTCGTGGGGTTATTGAATCAGCTCTCCATCATTGGAGAAGAGCGCTAAGTTTTACTCTCCACAATTTACATTTGCCATTATTTCGTCTATGAGTTCCTGTAGTTGAAGAATCCTAAAATAAAGGGGTAAAAGTCAGGGAATGTGGTTATAAACATATATATTTTTAATTGTGCCTTTGAATAAATTTATTAGAATCTGTTGTCCTTACTTCCCTAAAGATAATGTTTACCAAACATTATCTTTTACCTAACTTACCTTTTTCTCATAGCCTTTTTATTTGTCCACAGAGAGAGGGCAGAGTTTTTAAGTTGAACTCACAGTTTCCATCATACTACAAATAATTTTATATCCTAGACTTCCCTTCAGGACTTTAATTGTTGTTGAAACCCTACTTGTAAAACAGTGGGGAAAATAGTGGTGTGTATTCACTTAAATTGAGAGGACTATTTCTTAGGCCTTGACAATACTGCCCTGTGTCTTTCAAAGAGACATGTCTGCTTGTCTACTTGAGCCCAAACGTTATTTGTTGAAAATAAAAGCAGTAGTCTTGTCTTTGCATAACACAGAGATTCTCAGACTTAACTGCATTAGAATCACCTGGGTAGCTTTTTTAACAAACCGAGCTTTGGATCTCACCAGACACTCTGGTTTTAATTGATCCAAAACAGGGCCCAGTATCCTAGTTTGTAGTGTTCCCTAGGTGATGCTAATGTTCAGTAAGATTGTGGGCCATACTTGCCTGGCAGGAGAGATACCATGACCACAAATGTGGTTCTCCTGGGGCGAGTCTTATCCATTGCACTCCAGATGTGCTGACCCCTGCGGTTTCCCCAAATGTGGGAGACCCAGCTGCATAGTTTGTGGTAGTTGGGGACTGCGTTAGTGCTCCCGTGTGGGGAAAAACAGGATTGTGGACCACTAGTAAAAAGATGAGAATTCTGTCCTTGATCTGCTTTGCTTCCATCAGTTCCAGCTAAACCACGTACTATGTGACCTTGGGTATGTTACTTCACCTCTCCATTTTTCAATTTTCTCTTCAGTCAAATGGGATATTGATAGTACTTAAATCGTAAAATCATTTGAGAAGTCAAGGAGTTAACAGATTTTAAGCACTTAAAATAGTACCTGAAACATAAAAAGTGAACAATAAAAGCTAACTGTCATCAGCATTATCATCTCAGTTTTCAAAATGGAAGTGATAATAATGAACCTTTGGATTATTGCTTTATGAATACTTCCAAACTTGTGCTGTTCTGGAAGATCTGCTCATTTGTGCTCTCATTTATTATAAAACCCAGTGAAACTTTTGCTTTTTTTTTCTGTTTCAGCCACTTAAATGTATCAGCTTATACAAATCAACTTAATTCTATTTCTTCATTATAGCTAGTGCATGGAGTTGGTGTGAGAATTACTTGAAAGATTGAATGGCACATAGTAAGCATTTGATGGATGTCACTAATTATTAATGTTTTATAATTCAATTGCTTTTATTACCTGTGGTATTTCAGAATATAACTAATTTATAAAACAGCAGACCTATTTTTGTATGTTTTATGTGTTATTAACCAAATCATCACTTGAGCACAATGAACACTGAAATTAAATCAAACAAAAAGTAATAGCCTGCTCTCTACCCAGCGCGATGGCTCTGTAAGAAGTTTAAGAACAAAATAAGCCTTTAAACCCTTAAAATCTGTACAGTTTTATCACAACAATCTCAATTTGAAGTATTACATGGCCCTGAGCAAAAAGCTCCTTGAAATTCCAGTGCTAGCCTCTCATAAGTCATGACCTTTCCCCAGGCAGTGCTGACCGTCTTAGGGTTTTCAGTCATCTGTCTAAATTTAAAAACGCAAAAAAAGGGGGTTGGCTCAGTAGCGTTTACAAAAGGCAGATTTCAATCTTATTTTTTGTGCTTCTGTACATGTCCTTTCTGCTCCCTATATTTTGCAGAATTCAGAGCATACACCCTAGGATCATAGTCAGCAGGGGCTCATGGGCTCAAACATGAGATGTGATAGAAAACATGGCGAGAAAAGACATCTTTCTGTCCCCATACTTAGTATATTTCTATGCCTTCATTTTCATACTAAATTTTAAATAATTTGTCTGGAAAGGCTATGCACAAGCATAATATACCATAAGATTGTTTTCATGGTTTAGGTGTTTTCAATGTGTCATTAAAACACCTAATTTTCATGAGCATTAAAAAGGGAATTTAGGCCTAGATATACTTTTCTAGATTTTGTCTGTGTCTTAAAAAATTACTGAAATCCATGTGCTGAGTAAAGGAGGAAAGAAAGGAACCAATTACAGTTGGAGAAATCAAATGAAATATAATCACTAAAATACTTTATTCTAACATTATATCCTGCTAAGTGTGTCACATTCATGCTCTTTAAAGAGAGAAAACTCATTTGCTATAACTTAACATTGAAACTTCTATTTCCATTGTTATGCATTAAGAGTCACATATAATGAGTGTCTGTAAAAGGTGACCTCTTTAGATAAGATTATTCTCTAAGATTAGCTCTTTTTCCTGAATTCCCAGAACTTATGACTGATACCCTCCTCTGCTAAGGCACTGAAACAAGATACTTCTATAGAAAGCAACCCAAATCTGCCACTTTGCTAGGCACTCCATGTCTCATTTCTCAAATCTGTCTTCCCTCTTTTCATCTGTGCTGACACTGCTTTTGTACTGGCTCAGTGTGATTGTACCACTGCTTTCATTGTCTCTTTCTTTCTTAGATCCATTTCCTGGATTGCTGCAGAGTGATTTTTCTAAAACGTAAATCTAGTCATAAACTCCCTGCAGTGAAGTTCACACTTGTCAGATTATGTTTGCACCTGAGAATTCCCCTTGCACTCTACGCTGGTGGATCATCAAATATGGTTGGTCACATCTGCTATATCCCAGATACTCCAAGATCTCAGTATACTGTGGCTGCCAAATAAAGTCACATTTCTTTTAATATACAAATTTCAATGACTTGACCATTCACATAATTTCAGAGTTTCCCCTGAAGAATGGCTCCATGTTCTACAGAACTGTCTGGGTGGCTTCTTAGTCACCACAATGAGCCTTTCTCTGCACAAACATACTTTGTTCTAAAGCCTATCACACCATATCAGCCCTCCCTTCGCTGATCTTCTCCCAGCATGCTTTGCCCCAGTTCCCTTCCCTAACTACCTTTTGCACACGTGACACTAGTCTTTGGTTTTTAACTAAATGCTTTAAGATGCTGGAGTATAACCAAATATAATTTTAAAGAAGAGAAAAACTTAACCATGGTACTACCATCATTTCATGTGTTTTTTTTATTCTTTCTCTCTGATGTCATAAACAAGACAAGAATTCATTCTTTTTGAGTGTTTCTTAAACATTTTGTTTTTACTTCTCTAAGATAGAATTTATTTTTGCATATGATTTTAGGATTGAGTCCATCCAGAGATGTTGCATAGCTATTAACACACTTTGTTTATAAGATTCCAGTGGAAATGTGTATGTGATTAGTGAAATGCAAGTGGTAGATTTATAATTATAGTCTTAACACTACCAGCTTGCATGCAGAAAGGAAGGGGGTGAAACAATATGTGTGAGAAAATAAGTACCAACTTGGACATACTGGTTCAGATGGAAACATGGACATGGAAATTATGAACTTTCTCTAAAAAAATGCACTTTTGTCCCTCCAGAGCGGTGCTTCTTCCCATGGGGCCCCCCTGACTGGCTTACCCCCTTCATGGCGGCCATTATGTTGTGGAGGTGACCCTGTCTCCTCCCAAAGGGTGAACTTTTGCAGTCGCCTCTCCTACACCGGCCCAGATGCTCCCAGCCGCAAACTGACTAAGGGTTTCCTCTCTCCATGCTGTCGTTCTGCCACCCCTTAGAGCCGTAGCCTCTTCTGCACGGCCACAGCTGACTGCAGCCATGGCTTTGTCCGAATGTGTTGGAGAGCAAAAGAAAGGAAGTTCAGAGTGGGTCTTCCTTTCATGTAAGTTCCACACACCCATTCAGCCCACATTTCATGGGTGATCATTTAATTACACAACCAAACCTGAGCGCCTGGGAGATACTGCATCCAGCAGACAGCCACGTGCCCAGGAAGAAGGGAGAGCCAGGCGGGAGGGGCCAGCAGTCCGAGTCTCCACCATGTTTCCTATATCGTTTTCATTGTTTAATCTGTCCTCTCAAAATATGCATTCCTACTTATAATGGTTGTTTTGCATAGTCCAATTGAATAAAAATAGCTGCTCTATTCTTTCTATGCTCATGATTAAAAATACACCTTTTACCATGGGTCCCTTATCAGACATCCCTCTGTCAAATTGTATCAAGTTGTATAACTGTAAAGAGACAAGCAAATCCTGGGTTTTCCTTATCTTGAGAACACACAAGTGGCGAAGTTAAAATTACAAAGTATTCTATGTTCTATGGATATGCAAATGAGATATTTGCAAACTGGCTTGTAATTTAATGGTGGTTACGTAACAACTTTTTGGATATAATGTGTTCTGTATTAAAGCATTGCCATGCTTCAAAGATCCTCACATTGTCTCTGGAAGACGTGCAGTGAACTCTGTTGCCCATTCAGGATGTTCCTCTGTGTGTGTGCGCACACAGGCTCACATTCATCCATCAACCTACAATTACCTTGGCAACATGTGGAATGGGTCTACAAGATAACAAAAAATGAAACACTGGAAAAGAAAATCCTTGGAAACCTGATGTCTAGCTAAATTTCTTGTCATCAAGTCTGTAAATGATATTTTAAACATTATTTTTATACTTTCTCCCCTAGCTTAACTTAATCGAAAATGAAGAAAAGTAAAAGTAAAACTAAGACACAACCCTCTAGCCATTTCCAGACTGTAGCATTTCCTCTGTGCCTGAGAGTTGAAGCTGCCACCCATTGGGAATTTACATGAATTCCCAGATTCATGTAAAACAGGGAAGTGTACTAAAGTACTTCTTATGACTCCTTGCTTCAATTTTGTTTGTTTTAAATAACTTGTTTGTTTATTGTTGGGTTTGTTTCTCTGAGAGCCTAGAACATAACAAGGGATTGCAATAGACAAATTTATGCCAGGCTTTTGCCTACTGTGTCTCTGTAGAGAAAAGTTCCCTCTTGCTTGTCTTGCCTAAACCAAGGGGAAGTAAATTAAGGTCTGGGAAATGAAGAGAATGGTAATAATCTGCCTAAAACCAGAGCAGTAGTAAGTAGAGGAGGGAAGAAAAACATGGGGGAACTTCAAGAAATCAAATGGGCGGTTTTCTAAGTGTATTACTAATATGTGTGTGTATATGTGTGTGTGTGTGTGTGTGTGTGTGTGTGCGCGCGCGTGCGCGCACACACAAGAAGGCATATGGTGGCTCCAAGAGGGGAAGTGGGGGTTCAGGCTGGTGGTGGAGGAAACTGGTGGTCACTCAGGGGCTATAAAAAATGATTGAAGTCAGGCCTTGGGGAGGAGCAAATCAGTGATCCTGCTTCATGGGAATTGAGGGGTGGAGAGGACCTGGAGCTGGTGGTCACACTGGCGTGACAAAAAAAATTAAAGTGCCCTAATTTGTACATTGACATTTGTAAAGGAGGGGATGATTATATTCCTGTCTGTTCTTAGCAACCTCTAGGGATTCTTGCAGGCTCATAGGAGCTGATTTGGGTCAGAACTGAGCAAAGGGCTGTGGGAAGAAAAAGATAGAACATTTCCTCTCCTTCTGAGTAAGCTCTGCCTCCTGACCTCCAGCACGTTACTGGCCCTAGAAGGTTCCCCAGTGAAGCTGACTATGAGTCATACATTCTGAATTTCAGGAAGCCCCCATCTATCCAATCAAGTCCTGCCAACTGTGAAAACAAACACTTGAAGGTGCTAGGGAGCATCTAGTCCA